TGGAGCCTGTCCCTACCAACCTAAGTCTAGACAAACCCCTCATCCAGCAACATTCACAGTGAACTAGTGATCTTTTCTTTGTTAATAGAAGAAGATCCTATCTAGGATTTTTTGATATTTGAAAATTTCCTCTTCTTCTCCCCTACCTTCCTCTTCATTTGATTTTGAATCTACTTCTAATCAGACTAAAAAATGGTTTCCTCTTCTCAACCCAAGCTGCCATCTTTTCCATGCCAATATACATCATACTGAAAGGACAATGCAGACAAATGGAAGAGAAAGTAGGTAATAGAGACAAGATTAAAGAAAAGTATACATGAAAAACAATACTTTTTTTCTTTTCTCTTTCACTTTTGACTTCCTAAAGGCCTCTGCTTTTCACCATTTACAACTTTAGGGTCTCTGAGAGCACAGAACACAGCATCTCCTTATAATTTCCTAACTTCAACCTCCATCTAAGTGAACCATAGACACTGAGATATCTAGAGAGGGATTGGTTCTTTGATCTCTGCATCCTTTCCAAGGTAAGCTCCTCTTTCTCCTTAATCTGTCATTTCCATGCCCCTCTAAATTTTTGTATGGTAAGTAAATCATGTCCCTGTACATCATTTTGAAACAAGAGAACTAGAGAATTTGGCAAGAATGAAGGCATAGAACCATAGCAAAGGATGGACTTTAGGCCAGGGAGTTGCAGATATACAGGAAAAACACAATCTAGTCTTACACAATCCACTAGATTTGCAATAAACACTGGTTTTATTGTAGGTCACATATTAGCTAAGTAGTAGTATATCTATTTGGGGGTCAAAATCAGTTCCAGAAGTAAAATAATTATTCAAAATTTGACATAAACAAGTCTAGAAAAATTCAGAACTTTCTGATTTCCATTTGTTCTTGACCAAAGTACACCCATGGTTTTAAAACTAACTCTGATTGACTAACATTATCCTGCATTTATGAAAATGAGAATTTTTGGAAAGGGGACTTTTTCAAAAAATTATTTAGTATTTTATTTTTCCCCAGTTACATGTTAAAACAATCTTTAACATTTGTTTTTAAAACTTTGAGTTCTAAATTCTCTCCCTTCCTCCCTCCCCAACCCCCCTCATTGAAAAGGCAAGCAATTTGATATGTTATACATGTATAGTCATGCAAAATATTTCCATATTAGTCATGTTGTGAAAGAAAACATAGACTGAAAAAAAACCTGAAGAAAAATAAAGAAAGTTTAAAAAAAGTGCTTCAATTTGTATTGAGACACCATCAGTTCTTTCTTTGGGGATGGATAGCATTTTTCATCAAGTCTTTCAGAGTTGTCTTGGATTATTGTATTGCTGAGAATAGCTAAGTCATTCACAGCTGATCATCCTACAATATTGCTGTTACTTTATACACAATACATTTCACTTTGTATTGGCTCATGTAAGTGAAAGGGAACCTTTTAAAGAGACAAAACACATTCAAGGTGAGTCAATCGTTCAGACCTTTTTTTTTAAAGTGCCATAACATTGTGAAGATCTCAGACAAGATTAAGGCTAACAACCACAAAAACTCTCCTCTTTAATACTTTTTTAAAGTAACAATTAATTATTCTGTGGCACTAGTATTTGGATTCCATAATCACTTTCCTCTGATCACCTTTATTTAAAAAAAAACCCCTATATATAAACAGGTATACTCACTCTTAAACACCTACCATTTTATCTGCATTCATTTGCTTCAAAAGATATCTGAATAGTGGGCATAACAGGCACCCTAAAATCACGGTGAGCCCTGAAGTCTGTTTAGCCCAATAATGAAAGGTAATTTCCTTTAAGCCATAGATTAAACTTGTAAGAAGATCACAAGTTACAGCTGAGTCATGCTAAAACATAACAGAGTCAATAAAAATACTCAAAATGAAGATCACAGCTGAACTTTAAGTACTTTTTCTTCTTGGCAAATTCAACTCTACCCAGGGATAAAATAACTGTAATGGGTTGTTTTTATTAACCTATCAGTCCCTATCATCTTTTTCTTAATGTTCTAGGAGGAAACATTTGTCAGTAGAAACTAAAACTGCTGCTCAAAAGACCCACTGATTGCAAATTACCTCTAAATTATATTTAATCTGACACACTTACTCCAAAAAAAGTTGCTTAATCTTCACCACTGTTATCTATTTAAATGGGAAAATCAGCTCCAGAATCATTGAAGTGTTATAGTGAAGCCGACAGTAATCATCCTGTCAGCCCACCTTCAACAATATTTAAGCTACTAGTTTATACTCTTCTCAGTGCTCAAAATATTTGGTATTTTTCATGCGTGCTGGACTTCTTTGAAGAGTGTTCTACCTCAACTGCCTTGTATCATTGTAATGAAAAGTTATCAAGTAAGACCTTTAGATTCTGTGTAGCAGTTGAAAATGTCAAAAAAAAAAACTTTAAGATTAGTTTCTAATCTGCATATTATCCTCCCTCTCAAATATCAGAAACCCAAATAACTTATCATAAAAATGCAAGCTCTTGGTTTTGAAGAAAAACATATAAAATGTACTGTGCATCTAAATATGTCCTGATTGTCTAGGAGTATAGTACAACAGTCTGAAGTATCTGTGTCAACAGGAGATTTCAGTTATTCTTGCTTTTACAGACTCCGTTTTTCACAGTTTGGGGCAGCCTTTGACCCTTGATATAAGCATGATACCAAAAGTGGGCAAACAAGAACAGGAAGATACACCCATAGCACATGATGATGTACTGGAAGATTGGAAACTGGTATTTGCAATCCTTCACAAAGAAGGACTGTCCTATGTGGACTGTCACTATAACAAATTGAACCTAAAGAAGAGAACAAGGAAAATAGTCAGATATTTTGTTGCCATTTAAAAACTCTTCTATTTAATTAGCAGTTTAATTCTTAACCACTTGCACAACCAACCTATACCTCTCCTCCACCTCTATTGGCTGCTCCTGAGCCATGCAATCTTGCTTAAAAAGTAACTTCCTTTAGAGTTACTTTGCTTTGGATCTAAGTTCAGAACTGGTTCACACTGGCAACAGAGAAGATCTTTGGAGAATCCAAGGTGTCCTAAACGTGTCCCTAAATGGGGCAGCTAGGTGGCACAGTGGATAGAGTGGCAGGCCCAGCAGTCAGGAGGACCTAAGTTCAAATCTGACCTCAGACACCTACTCACTGTGTGACCCAGGGCAAGTCACTTAACTCTATTTGCCTCAATTTCCTCATCTGCAAACAAGCTGGAGAAGGAAATGGCAAACCATGCCAGTATCTTTGCTACAAAAACCCGAAATGGGTCATGAAGAGTAGGACACAACTGAACAACAACAACCTAAATGTGTAGGGGTTCTCTTTGCAAAATGGGCTAGGAGCACCCCTGACTTTGAAGTAACCAAAAGAATCCCTAGCATCTTCCCACACACTAAGCCCAGGAGCTCTTCAAGAGTTTGCCCCAAATTTTTGTCAGGTGTGCCCCAAATGATATAGAAGGTCCACTTTCAATTACATGTAGGCATGTGTGACTCAGGAATTAGACTGAACTTACATTTTCATGCAGCTTACAATTACATGCACATGTGTAAGTCTCTCAAATAATTCTGTGCTACAAGCTTAAAAAGAGTTTGAGAACCATTGCTTTATGCAAAAATGGCTTTCCCTTTCCCTGCTATTCTAAGTCTTCAGAGTAAGTTCTTCAAAGAAGGATTTTTGTTGGCTTTCTTAAGATCATGGATGTAAATCTAGAAGGGACTTTAGAGGCAATATAGTCCAACCCTTTCATCTTACAGGTGAGGAAAGTGAGGCTCAGGAAGGCTAAGTGACTCGTCTATGGTAACAAAGCTAGTTAAATGTCAGAGGCAGTATTTGAAGCTAGATCTTCCTGGCTCTAGGTACAGTATTTTTACCACAACCCATGCTGTCTTTCTTGGAATTAGAACAACAGAGAGAACAGAGACTAGGCCCTTCTGGGCATACTCAAGGGCAACCATCTCTAGGCACATATTCAAATCTTGACACGGCACAGGTCTTGAATCAAAATTTAATTCTTCCACCTTAAGACAGGCAACCTATGACAGATTTGTTTCATAGGTTGCCCAGCGTATTCTGGGCACTCAATCCATGTTGAGCAATAACTAGAAGTTCCCTTTTTAAATGTCAAATCTAGCTGTACAACCCTAAATCCATGCTTTCTTCTTTAGCTTTTGCAGAACGTGAGGTCAACTTGCTGGGCAGAGTAGGATGCTGATACAAAAATATTTAAGCTAATACTCTGCTTAAGCCTTAAATAATAGTTCTAAAGGCAGCATAGCTACATGTCCCATTTTTTTATATGATGCAGAATTTAAACTTAGATGTTGGAGAGGTATTCCTACTAGACAGATTTTTAGGTATATGTTGGCTACTTGTTTGATTAGAGGGTAATTATGAATTGTGATGGGAAAATCATTTTTAAAAGCACATTGATTTATCACCTTTCTGAATTTTGGTTTTTGGTCCTCATAATAATCCTCTGGTGCTAAATAAATATGGGAGTTTATACATATTGAGGTTGGGAATGGTGGGAAAGAGGAATAATTTTTAATCATTTAAAAATCAAATAATTCACCCAATATTGTGGGATAAGCTATAGAGAGTTTAAACCAAGCATGCTGATATTTTCTCCTTCAGTTTGGTATTATAGTAGTAATAGACCCCCTTAGGCTGATTCATGTTAATTATTCAAATATACCTATTTGATTTAACTATAAATGAAACAGCTAGAATGGTGCACACATTCTGGCTTAAGATTTTATAATTAGTGCTTATTATTTTATAAATAGTCCCAATTGTTTTCAGATAACGTTCCTGATAAAACTAAAATTATATCAAAAGATTAACTACATAATGTCCAATGATGAAGTTATTTGTTTGTTCTGTGGACTGTTTAGTTGGGAGTGTAATTTACATAGAAATGGACTGATTTCCACTTGTGGGGCTTAATTGGGAAGGGGAGGGGAGTTACTCACAAGCTGTAGTGTTGTCAAGTGTTTTTTCCACCACAAATATTTCTGGTAGGCTGGTCCCAGTGCACACAATCCATAGTAGGTGTACATGACTACATGAACAGCTGTATTCAACAAGGCATGGAATGTTCCCAAGCCACCTGCAAAATGTAGCATTGTCATTGGTTGTCCAAGAGATGGATTTATATGATCAAAGATTTTTAATGTCATTATTCCTTGATTTTTAATTGGAAGAAAATGTCATATGAGAACTCAAATTTGCTGAATCAACAGACTTAACAAATTAGAAAAAAATATGAACAATTCACAAGATTGGCAAAATCCTTGACAACTTTAGCAAATACAATTTATTTATATGAGGTATAAAATGGCTTTTCCTTCAAATGGCTGTTTACTTCAAATACAAGATAAACTCCATTTATAATGGTTATGTATCAGAACATTCTTTTTAAAATTTATTTGTTCTACCTATAATACTTTTCAAAAATATTTTCAAAGTAACACAATAATTTGTAACACTGATAGGCAAACCTTAAAAAAGGCTTCTCCTTCCACCAAGGGCATGACAACAGGTAATATATTTTTCTTGGTTATGAGAGAAGATAACAGTTTTGTCATTTTAAAATATGTTAATAAAAGCATTTTGCTTTTTCCAAAGAATAGTACTCTTTTAATTCATTAACATAACAAATCCTCAAAAGTTGCAGACTAATTACTGGAGAAATCCAATTTGAACTAGAAAAAATTAAAATTATAAAATTTTAAAAGAAAATAATGCTTTAAGCCTTCTAACAATTCAAAGATCTGTACTTTCATCAACTGGGTTATTTGTCCAATAATGTTGTTTAGTAGCTCCTATGTGCAAGGCATTGAGTTATATTCTAGAGGTGCAAAGAAAACCAAAACCAAAAAAAAAAGTCCCTGCCCCCAAGGAACTTACTTTCCAATGGGGGAGACAAGTAGTAATTGGGGGAAATCAGGTAAGGCTTCCAATAAGAGGTGCTACCTGATCAGAGCCTTGAAGGAAAAGAAAAATCCTAAGACAGGGTTTATTAACCATTTTTGTATCATGGACTCGTTTGAGTCTGGGGAAGTCTTATGAATACCTTCTCAGACAAATGTTTTTAAATGGATAAAATGTAATGCACAAGATTATATTGAAATACAGTTGTCAAAATACTTTTAAAAACAAGTTCATGGACTCTAGTTAAGATGTCCTGTTCTAAGATGCAAAGGTGAGAAGGGAATGGATACAAGTCAGGCATGGGGAATGGATTGTACAAAGCAAAGAGACTGGGAAATGGAATTCTGAATTCTGGAAATTTCAAGGATGCCAGTTTGAATCTAGTGTAGCGTGCCTGAGAGGCACTTGCATGAAATAAGGCTGGAAACTGGGCCTTAAATGCCAGGCTAAGAAGTTTGTATTTTATTTCAGAGGCAATAGAGTGCCCCAAAAGATTTTTTAAGCAGAGGTGTACTGTGGTCAGACTTATACCTTAGAGTGGTTATTTTGGGAACTTCATGGATGACTAATTGGATAGGGTAGAGATTCGAAGAAGGAGGCCAATCCAAATTATTTTTGCAACAGTCAAGGAGAGAGACAATAAGGGCCTGCAGCAATTTCAGAAATGTTGTAGAAGTAGCATCTGTGAGAGTTAGTAATTGATTGGATTTGGGTGGTGAAAGGAAAGAATTCAGGATGATTTCAAGGCTGCAAATCTGACAGTAGAAGGATAATGATGCCTTCATTAGAAATAGGAAAATGTGATGGAGGAAAAGGTTGATGGGAGAAGACAATAAATTTCATATTAGACATACTGAGTCTGATATGCTAATGAGACACCCAGATGAAGTTCAGGAGAAGGATTATATTATCTTCATGAATTTCAGTGGCCACAAAATGTTATCACCTGGTGGAAAACCTTTGGTGCTAAATCTCTTGCAGCTTAGAACACAGATGGCAGATTTATACCTAAAGACCTTCCAAAAGCTTGGTAGGAACTATCAGATTGTGTGAAATAGCCCTCAAAGTCCCAGGGTACCCTCTAAGGGAGGAGTAAGACTTTTGTGAAGTGCTACCTTATATCTGATAGCTCGGAAGGACACCTAGTGTCAGAATGCCCTCTATCAGCTGCCTATGACTTAGGAAATCAGTCCTGGGGAATCCTCTGGGCATCGATTGGTTAGGTGACTTGCCCAAGGTCACATAGCAAACCAGTACCAAACATGGGATTTTAATCTAAGTCCAAATCCAAAACTCTATTTACCATACTGTCCCATTTGGTTTTTTAACACAGTGGTTTAGTAATCAACACAGAAATAGACTTCTAAATATATACAAGAAGTCCAACTGGATTAACAAAATGTTATTTCGTAGAGATCAGATGAATATATAAGATTCATAATCAGCATAATAATTATATGTAAACACATGCTCACAAAGCGCTGAGGAGGTGCCTAAAATAATTTGTTCTCTCAAGCAATTGCATTTTCCTCCTTTAATCTTGTTGATACTATTTGCTTTAGCAAACTCTTTCTTTATAAGCATGGTCAAATTCAATTTTGGCTAATCTCTGTCCCTCCAGATTCCCTACATAATCCCCACATTCCCCATAATGAAGTTTTTATTTTTAGTTTTTATTATTCACATTTTGCTTAACCTTATAAAAAAAATAAGTTTAAACAGATATACCAGGATAGCAGCAATTTTTTTTTCCATAGAGCTTCAAGACACTTAATCCACTTTTGATGATTTATGTCTTAGTTCACAAAGGCTCTTCCATAGTTAACACACTCTAGATGTTCATTTGAGCTTCATGATTCCATGATGGGAAGATATTTCCTTGGCCATTAGCATGAGGCCATTATAACTCTACCTGTATAACTCATTATAACTCTACCTATATTATCATGAAATTCTGATACTCTCACCAAGGAAAGCGTTCTAGGGTATAGATCCTAGTATCAATGACATAGCAAGTCAGAACCTAATGAACAGAGTACCAGGGTAAATGGCTAATTCTCTCATCATGACAATATTCTCTTTAAAATATTTTAATGTGTCTTTTTATAGATACCTAAAATGAGATTTTATCATATTTGGAACCCTTACTATTATAATTTTTTAGCTTTTATTATTCACATTTTGTGCAACCTTCTGGAAAATAAACTTATACAAATATAACAGGATAGCAAGCAATACTTTTCTGGAGAACTTTAAGTTAGGACGCTTAATCCATCTTTGATGGTTTAGATATAAGCTTGCTGTACCTGCTTTTGCAAGGTTTTCCTGATAAAGATTATTTTTCTCTGAAATTGTTTTCCTTTCTGTGATAACAGGTCCCCCAAAGAATTTGAATCTTCAAATGAATTACACTTTGTAAATATACAACACATAATGTTCTATCACCTGGAGAGTTGGGCAACTCTTGCCACTCTCCTTCTCTTGACTTGGATATATACAAAGTCAATGTCAAAATTATCTGCAGATATCTGCTAAGCATACGCCTATTTAAATGAAAGAAAACACAAGGTGGAGTACCATGCTAATGCTATTGCATAAGGAAGTTCAACAGCCAGCCAGGGAATTAAATACTAGGTAAATATTAGCTGGGCTGGAATGTATTAAAAGATCTGTTCCAGATTTGACAATTTCATTCCAGATAAGGAAGATTAGGCTTACATGTTGGAAATACTTCTAAAAGTATTGCTGCCTTGGATGGCACTGAATAGATATTCCATGCACAAAGTATTTCAAAGAACTCTACATGGAAGACCAAACAAAGAAGCCAAGGAAATAATAATGACCAGCATTGATATAGTCCTGTGAAGTTTGCAAAGTATTTTACAAATATTATCTCGTATTATCCTGAGGGAAGGGATTAGGTGCTGTTATTATACCCCCATTTTGCAGATGAGGCAATTGAGGTAGACAGAGGTCAAGTGACTTGCTATGGGTCACTTAGCTGGTAAGTATCTGAGGCTGGATTTGAACTCAGGTCTTCCTGGCTCCAGGTCCAGTGATCTATCCACTGCACCACCATCTAGCTGCTTCAAAAATACACGAATGCAAAGAATAAATTGGCATGATAGAAACTTTCCAAAGTAAGAGAGGCCATTGGTTTAAGGGATTCCAGAATACAGTGTATTATGTCAATAAAACTGCTGTATTTAGAAAATTAAAATAAATGGTCTCTAAGGGCCTTTCTAGCCTTAATTCTATGATGTGATAACTTTCAGGAGCTTCTGTTTCTCAACATTCTTATGAATCACTTTCTCAAAGATTTGGAGAGTCAACAGGCACAAAGTAGAATGTAAAGTAATTCTCAAGTCTCTTCATATCTCTTCTTGTTGTAATGTGTTAACTTGAATTATCTGCACAGTAAATCAAGAACTGGGGCAACTAGGTGATGCAGTGGATAGAGTCAGGAAAACTCATTTTCATGAATTCAAATCTGGCCTCAGACACTTAGTAGCTGTGTAACCCTGGGCAAGTCACTAAACCCTGTTTGCCTCAGTTTCCTTATTCGTAAAATGAGTTGGAGAAGAAAAAGGCAAATCACTCTAGTACCTTTGCCCAGAAAACCCCAAATTGGGGTCATGAAGAGTTGGACATGACTGAAATGACTGAACTATGACAACAACAAATACATTTTTATGAAATATGGATGTAAAAGAAGATAAAACAAGAGTAGGTTTAAGTAACTTAATCTCATGTTAAGGATTCAGACATATGGCTATTTCTTACTTTATGACCTTGAAAGCCTCCTGTAAAATATTGTTAGTGGCCAATACTACACAGTATTCTTCTAAAAAAGGCTGAGTGCTTTGATTTAATTATTTAATTTGATTTAATATTTATTGGAAAGCTGTTATGTACTTATTAAGGCACTGCACTACAGACTTTTAGCCCTCAAAAGGTCAATAACTTTCATCATATGACAGACAGAGAAGATGTAAAGATGACTTAGAACTCAGTAAAAGTATTTTTCAAACCTTTAACAGTAAATAGAAACAAGACAGGGCAGGAAAAGGTAGCACAGAAAGCAGTGATCTCTCCTTCTTATGAATTTCTAACAGGGATTGCTTGTGTATTCCTTATGATTGTATTTGCACATTGCACCTTATATAACAGTTTTTTGCAAATACATTCTCTCTCTCTCTCCTTTTAGACTATAAATGCCTCAAAAAGGTACCTGCTCTCATTTGCTTTGGTTTCTCTCTCTTCCTGGGTCTACCACACTGTGTTGCAAATGGCAGGTACTTATTAAATATTTCTTAAATCAAAGTAAAATGAAATAGATACAGTTGAGAAATCTGACTATAACCTGAATTCTATTTTGTGAACTGGGTTATAAAATCAAATCTGTTTCCTCTGGAAAAATTCTCCTTGGTGAGCTGCCAACTTGAGGAATTTCAATTACTGACATGTCTCCTGGTATGCAGGGAACTCAAAAGCAAATCTGAAGTCACAGTAGTGCTCTGCCAACTCTGGGATTTTCCTCCTTCTACATTTTTCTTCCTACTCCTCTTACCCCATGAACCACAGGGTTTTCCCTATGTTGTGAGTTCCATGGGCTTGGATCTGGAATCTACTAAAAGTTTTCTCTTTAATCTCTAAAATTAGGTTGCAATCATGTCACTATATGAAAAAAGCTTCATTCCAGCTGCCTGAAAATTTCTTAAACTTGAGGAACAGACATAATAACTATCCTAAAAAATCTTGTACTATGAGAAGGAAGATTCAATTTTTTAAGTTTTATTTTCTTTTTTTCATTGTGAACTTGATGAACACCTAGAAACACAAGCTTTCTATGTGCAAAGACCCGAAAAAAAAGGATTGTACATAAATCTCTGTTATATATACTGCATGGTTTTTTAAAGTACATTATAAATTTAACATGGCAGTAGAACCTGGACTGTACTGTTTGAGTCCTTGGATGAAAGATTCTTTTAAAAAAGAAAAAAAGGAGATCTCTCAGTGGAAATTGATTTCTATATCAGAAAAAGGATAAATTCTCTGAAAGTTCTCTTTGTGGGCCCAAAGTACAATTTAATACAAACTATTCAAGACATATTATGTACAATATATTCACTCAATAAATATTTATTAAGCACAACAACATGCAACTCCTTAGGGCTTTTATCTCCTCAGTCATAAGCCAATTGAGATCTGTATTGATAGAAAATTCCTATACCGGGAGTATCTCAGTCAAAGGAATTAGAAGGATCATAGGTCTAGACCTCAGAGGCCATCTAATCCAATCCTCTCATTTCATAGATCAGGAAACTGAGCCCCAGAGGTTAAATGACTTTCCCAAGGTTACATAGGTTATAATCATCAGAGATGAAATTTAATCTACATCTTCTGACTCCAGAACCAGGGAGTATTCCTCCCACTCCATGAGCTGTCTTCCTCTTAAAGTAAGTTTAGGCAATTAATCTAGGAGTCGGAAAAGATATAAAGACAATGATTTATAAGTAACTTACGAGACAAATTAATTCCATAGTTCATCAATTATATGAATTCAAAAGAACTAAACCAAAACACCACACACTACCCATTTAAAAAAAAAAACTTTTTTTAAAGTACATGTTCAGAAGATCCTTCAATACTATAAGTAGCACAAGAATGCAAGTAGATTTTGGACAGGTTCTTTAATGGGAACATTATTGAGTATGTTTAATAAAGGTTGATGGGCAATGTATATTGAGCACTGAAATTGCCATTAACTTCCCAGTATAGGAGGGGCAGTTAGATGGTGAAGTGGATAGAGCACCTGGCCTGGAGTCAGGAAGACCTGAGTTCAAATATAGCCTCACATACTTCCTAGCTGTGTGACCCTAGGCAAGCCACTTAACCCTGTTTGCCTCAGTTCCTCATTTGTCAAATGAGCTGAAGAAGGAAATGGCAAACCATTCCACTATCTTTGCCAAAAAACATCCCAACTGGGGTCATGAAGAGTAGGACATGACTGAAAACAACTGAACAACAACAAAATTCCAGAATAGGGAATTCCCGAATGAAGAAAAGCTCTCACCAGTGCAGGTTGACACTTTCTCTGCAACTTATAGTCTCAGAGGCTTGCTTACAGCATGATGAAGTTAAGTAACTTGCTCAAGGTCATACAGTCTGAATGTGCCATAGGAAGGACTTAAATCCATGTCTTCAGGGATCAGAACTGACTTACTATCCACCATATACTTCTGCCTCTCAATTATTTAACAAAATCCCTATGAGTGGAGGATTTGCATTCCACTATAAAGCAATGTACATATTGGGAACAGAACAAATGACACTTGAAAAAAGAGGACCCAAAGTATTCTCAACTAAAGAATACATAAGGGAGAATGTGCCAAAGAGCCTTAAATATCTGGTATTTTGGACCAGGGAAGAATAAATAAGAAAGACAGAAAAAGCTATATAAGATCCCCACATATGAATTCAGGAGTTTTATTTGAGTGTCTTCTCTGATCTTCCAGGGAATTTGTTAACTTTTTTTTTCATTTTAGTGACAATTTATAATGTATAACCCTGGCAAGACCTCTGTCTGCCTCAGTTTCCTCATCTGTAAAGTAAGGATAATATTAGCACCTACTTGCCAGGGTTGTTTTGAGGATCAAATGAGATAATATTTGTAAAGGCACTTTGAAAACCTTAAAGTGCTATGTAAATGCTATTATCATTACTGCTATTTTTATAACATATGGAAATTTTATTATTATTATAACACATGATCCCAATTCTCCCTCAACTACCTGCAGCAAATTTGACTCCAAACCACCAGGTCCATGGCATGATGGTGTGATGGAAGACATGCAGGAAAGTAACTTGGCTATTTTTCTTACGCAGAACAAAAAAGATCTGAAATAATTTAAAGAAAATCAAGTTCACATTTAAAATACATGCGATATTCATTTAGTATACACAAACACAAGGGAAGAATGAAATATTTTTAGTCAATATACAAACACAATTTGCTTTAAATGTTTACAAAACAAGATGGTTTCACAAAGGGAAGCACAAAAGAGGCTAACTCCCCTTTATCCGATTATGAAGAGTTAGGTAATTCAAGAGAAATTAAAGTCTTAGAGGGAAGTGGAAGTAGGAGTGGAATGAATTGGTCAAATAGGCAGGGTGGAGGAAGAAGCAGGAAAAAATAAAAGAAATCAGAGTGATTTTTCCAGGCAATTGTGAAGAAAGAAATAATGACAGGAATAGACTAGCCCTAATTCTTGGAATTAAAAACATTCTGTATTTTCCCTAATTTAAACAAATCCAGACTCTAGCAAATAAGAGAGAAAGCTTTAAAAAAATTAGCAATCATCAAAAAATGCATAAAGGCATAATAATAGGTTTTTTAAAAAAAAATACAACCTCCAAAGAGTTAATCTGGGAAACAGAAAGCAAAATAGAAGTAGCTTGGGAAACATGGTCAATTCAAGGCATTATAAAATGGAATCTGCAGATTGGTTTGCAGAGAAAGTATGAAAGAAAAATTATTGGAAACTTAAGAGGAAGAGTGTAAACAAAGCCCAAAATTCCATAGGAATAAGCTAGCTAAGAAGAGAGCAACCCAAAAGAATAATAATATGTAGCAAGAAGGGTAAGAGAGAGGATTATTGGGAGGTAAGGGCACAGCATTCTGCATAGAGCCAAGAACATGCAAAATAGTAACAAAGCCAAAATACATATGCTTACAAAAACGTAAGGAAGCAACATGGTTCAGTGGGAAAAGAATTGAACTGGATGGGAGTCAAGAGGATTCTGGTCCTAGACCTGTCTCCACCTAGGACTCATTCACTGTGTGACTTTGGACAAGTCAGTTTATCTCTTTGAGCCTCAGCTATGTCATCTGGAAAATGAAGGGGTTAGACTAAAGCATATTTAATATCCCTTCCATCTCTAACATCCTCTGAATGGTGAAATAGAGAAATAGGTGAGGGGAAGATTTGAAACACAGGACATAGTTGCATAGGTCCTAAAGGGAGAATAAATTTAAAAGACTTGGGGCTGGAGGTTCTCATACTAGTCTTAACTAGAGTTAGAAGCAGCAGAAAATGGAGTGGTTCTTTTGTCCTAACTTTCATAGAAGAAAAAGAAAAACACACGGCTTCTTCAAATAGGATCAATAGAATTGAGAGAAATGGAATTCTTGGTACAAGCATTTCTGAAGATCCTGTTGCCAAAGTTTGTAAGCACTTAGCATGCCCAAAAGCAAGATGAAAAAGAGACCTAATAGGCATGGACTTTAGTATGAAATAAAGTATTTGGATGATTCTCTCTATGTATCTGTGACAGATTTGTTTGTTTGTTATGTTTTTGTTTTTGTTTTAAAGATAGGCTCTTTAGGTATAGTTTAGCATTAGTTTATAGTGCTTTATAGAGTGAAGGTTTGTTGTGCTCTGATGGCAACAATTTTGGTCAAATAACAATAGTCCTTCCTAAATTTGAATTATAAAGAGCCTAGAACAGTTTTGTTCATGTCCTAAACTTGATCATAAGACTTAAAGCAATGAAGAGCTATTGTAAGGGTTTTGAGACAGTTGTGAGGGACTCAAATTAGTGGAATAAAGGAGAGTTGTTATATGGATTATGAGAGTTGTGTGTATATATTTTATATATATATATATATAATTTATATATTTATTACTTAATGACTTGGCATGATTTTATGTGTAGGGAGATCTTTTTTAAGGTTTGGGGAACACTTTGAAAATTGAATTATCTTCCCCCATGCATTCTCTTGAATAAATGAGAGATAATGAGGCTATTCAAAGATACGAAGTCTGGCTAGTGAGGAAGGGAATGAGGCACCAAAACGATACTGTAGTAACTTTCTTCTAGTCTATGATTTCTGTGAAAAGAAATCAAATATTTACTTAACTGGATGACTTACAGTGTCTAATAGCTCAATGAACTTGGAGAAGTAATAGAGCCAGCAGGTCCATGCCATCTGCAGAAACATACACAGGAGAACAAGGAATTTTAATTAAAGGCTACAAATAATGATACCAACACTTTCTATCCCACCAGAAAGAAAAGAGAATGAAAGAAAAGGGAAATGCATTTGATTTCCTCTGATTTTTTCAGAGGAAATTTTTTTAAGTTCTCCCAAGCCTTTCAGCCTCAAATCTGAATTCATTCATTCATCATCAATTTTTAGTTTAGTGAATTAAAATCCATAGATTTTAATTCAGACATCATAACTAATAACTAGTACAGCTGGAAAATCAGAAGGATGTTTTTAAAACTGATTTTTTTCTTGATTTAGTATTTTATTTTTCTCCAATTACATGCAAAAACAATTTTTAACATTTAAAAAAAATTTTGAGCTCCAAATTCTCTCCCTCCCTGCCTTATTGAGAAGGCAAGCAATTTGATATAGGTTATACAGGTGCAGTCATGCAAACATATTTCCACATTAGTCATATTGTGAAAGAAGACACATACTCAAACAATAGCAACAACAAACAACCAAGAAAAATGAAGAAAGTAAGGAAAAAGTATGCTTTGGTCTGCATTCTATCAGCTCTTTCTCTGGAGATAGATAGCATTTTTCATCACAAGTCCTTCAGAATTCCCTTGGATCATTGTATTGATGAGAATAGCTAAGTCATTCACAGTTGATCATCTTACAAAATTGCTGTTACTGTGTACAATGTTCTCTTGGTTCTACTTCTTTCACTTTGCATCAGTTCATGTAAGTCTTTCCAGGTTTTTCTGAGAGCATCCTGGTCATCATTTCTTATAGTATTTCATCATGATCATGTACGATTTGTTCAGCCATTTCCCAATTGATGAACATTCTTTGCCACCATTAAAAGAGCTGCTATCAATATTTTTGTACATAAAGATCCTTTTCCTTTTTTAAAATTTCTTTTGGATAGAAACTAGTAGTGGTATTGCTTGGTCAAACAGTATGCATGATTTTATAGCCCTTTGGGCATAGTTCCAAATTGCCCTAGAGAATGGTTGAATCAGTATACAGCTTCACCAACAGTACATTAATGTCTCAATTTTCCTACATCCACTCCAACATTTATCATTTTCCTTTTCTGTCATATTAGCCAATTTGATAGGTGTGATGTGGTAGCTCAGTGTTGTTTTAATTTGCATTTCTTTAATCAATAATTATTTAGGGCATTTTAATATGATTATAGATAGCTTTGATTACTTTGTCTGAAAACTGCCTGTTCATAGCCTTTGACCATTTATCAATTGAGGAACCACTCTTGTTTTTTTATATATTTGACTGAGTTCTCTATATATTTGAGAAATGAAATCTTTATCAGAGAAACTTCCTGTAAAATTTTTTTTCACAGTTATGATTACTAACTGTGTATTTCTCTTCATCCTATTTCCCCCCTATCTCTCTCTCTCTCTCTCTCTCTCTCTCTCTTTCTCTCTCTCTCTCTCTCTCTCTCTCTGTCCCTCTCCTTACACCATGTCCAAACCTCAAAAGTGTTTTGCTTCCATCTTTTACCTACCTCAATCCACCCTCCATTCTATTACCATTCCCTTTCTCATTCTTTTCCCCTCCTACTTTCCTGTAGGATAAGATAGGTTTCTATATCTAACTGAGTGTATATATCATTCCCTCTTTGAGCAAATTCTAATGAGAGTAAGGTTCAATCACTCACTCCCCATCATCTTTCCCATCTTTGCTTCCACTGTAAAAGTTCTTTCATGCCTCTATTATGTAAGATAACTCATCCCATTCTATGGCTCCCTTTCCACTTCTCCCAGTGCATTTTGCTTTCTTACCCCTTAATTTTATTTTTTTAGATAAACCATCCCATCATATTCAACTCACATCTGTGCCCTCTATATACTCCTAACTGCCCTAAAGTGTGTAGGAATTACAAGTATCATTTTCCTATACAGGAAACTAGACTGTTTAACTTTATTGAAACTTTTTTGATTTCTCTTTCCTGTTTACCATTTTATGCTTCTCTGGAGTCTTGTACTTGAAAGTCAAATTTTCTATTCAGTTCCGGTCTTTTTATCAAAAATGCTTATAAGTTCTCTATTTCATTGAATATCCATTTTTCCCCCATGAAGGATTATACTGAGTTTTGCTGAGAGGTAATTCTTGGTTGTAACCCTAGCTTCTTTGCCTTTCAGAATACCATGTTCTAAGCCCTCCAATGCTTTAATATATAAACTGCTAAATTTTGTGATATCCTGATTGTGGTTTCATGATATTTGAATTGTTTCTTTCTGGCTGCTTGCAATATTTTCTCTTTGACTTGGAAGCTCTGGAATTTGGCTACAATATTCCTGGGAATTTTCATTTGGGGATCTCTTTTGGGAGATGATCAGTGTATTCTTTCAATTTCCATATGTGGTTCTTGGGCTGGAAAATTGTTTTATCCCCATCCTTTTTTAGGTTCTGCAGCTCCAGAATTTGTTTTGAGGCATTATTTTAAAGGTATTTGGAAGGTAATTTGGGAGTTCAGGTGAGTCACTGCCTTTTCTCCACCATCTTGGCTCCTCCTTCCCACTGATTTTGAATCTAGAGCAGATTAAATGTGATTCAAAAATCAGTTTTAAAAGCATCCTTCTAATTTGCCCAGCTGTAATAGTTACTGGTTACCCTTGAGAGAAGTTAGGTGGTGCAGTGGATAGAGTGTCAGTCCAGGAGTCAAAAAGACTCTTTTTCCTGAGTTCAAATCTAGCCTCAGACACTTACTAGCTGTGTGACCCTGGGCAAGTCATTTAACCCTGTTTACCTCAGTTTTCTCATCTGGAAAATGACCTGGAGATGGAAATGTCAAACCACTCCAGTATCTGTGCCAAGAAAACCCCAAATGGAGTCATGAAGAGTTGGACATGACTGAAAAAAATGACTAAACAACAACTTACCCTTAGGGCTATAGGTGATCTGGAATAGTCAACAATGTCACACCGGTATGAATAGCCTACACCCCAGCCAGACATCATGAACTAAAGTGAAGAGAAAGAAAGAAAGAAAGAAAAAAACAGAAAAAAAAACATTGAGGAAATATTTACTTAGCAGGTGCACCTAAGGATTTCAACTGGATTTTCCCCATACATTTCTCATAAGAGTACCTAAATGAGAAATCTCAGCAGTAAAGGAAAAAGGTTAACTAAAATGATGACCAACTATAAATCACACTTAAATTCATTTTGTTGTTCCTGTAAATATTGTTCTGAATAAAACAACTTTCTTTGGACAGTTATCCCAACATAGTGTACCCCACTGAAAGCAGAGGGAGAAGAAAAGTGGGGCAAAGATTATCCAAACTGTATGCTATGCAGATGATTGCCAGGTGATGAAATTTTCTCTTATATCTAGCAATAATCAATATTTTAACTTATGAAATCAGCAAATAATCAAGTCAAAGCATTACCTCAAGATATTTTCTAGGCGAACACAATAACTGGGTTTTTATTTGCCTTTTGCTCAGGGTTCAACTTCCAGTCATAGATCACAATGACACTATTTTCTCTTAAATGAAAATTCAAGAAAATGGGCAAAGTAACATTTTTTAAAAAAGATAAGGGAAACTAGTAGATGTTCTTCTCTATGGCTTTAGATGAAAAGTCATCCAAAAAAGAAAATTTTCATGTTAATAAGTCAGTAACAACTTTGCAATCTGGTAGACCTTAATTCCAACACACCCACAAAATGGCTTTAGATCAGTAAAGAAAAGAATAAACTGTTTGTTGAAGACAATGGCTTGAAATTGAATCCAAATACTGTGACAACATTCTTCCAAGTCTGATTGTGGACAAGTTTACTATTAAAACAGTAGTGAGTAGCCAAGGGTTCTATTTATTTTAGTTTTAATTAGTTTAATTAGTTTTAACAGACATTCTAAGTGGTTGACAATAGTCTGTTTGCACAACTGCCCACTACCCACGTTTCATCTTTCTTAAAACTTTTCACTGAGCATTGCAGTGATGTCATTGTGTTCCAATGGACCTCAGCCTTAACTTTTATAATTTGATAAACCTAAAGCAAATTTTTTTAAATTATAACTTATTTCATCATGTGATGGTACCTATTTAAACTTTTGCAAATGGTCTATAAAGCTAAAAATGTAACCATGTCATTTTTAAACTTGAAAATATGATTTTTCAAGGCCATATGGAGATATTTCAGGAAGAAAAATATAGACTATGAAATATCATGAAAGTTAAAAATTCATCTTAAAAAAATACCAGCACCTGACTTGGCTCATACACTTGTTTTTTAAAATTCATTTTGGTGGTACCTTTTGTTTTTACAACATAGTTATTTTCAAATAGACTCTCCTGCCCCAACCCACCCCACTAGCAGCAGAAGAACCTTCTTTTGTAACAAAGAGAAACAGTTGAGCAAAAGCAATCAACATAGTCAATATATCTGACAAGCATGTACTCATCATGTAATCATTTTATTTACCTAGACAGGACAGATTCTTAGACATGTAATTAATAGAATAGAATGATTATAAAGAAAGCATAGTTCTATAGATACAAACATATAATGCATCCATGCACAAAGACTGCAGGAAGGGAGACATGCATGTGATTTCAATCACAGAGAGAACAAATAATGTAGAACCCCTTCTATTCATGTGGATTGACAATTTATCTGTAATTTAGATTCTTAGAGAGTTGTTTCACAGCATTGAGAGGTTGTGATTACTTGCTCATTGTCACATTTAGCATGTGTCTGAAACAGGGCACATACTGCTTCAATGCCTCAATGAAAACACATGCATAAATACACTGTCAGGGTGGGACTCCTTTTTCTAAGCTAGCTAGGAAAATTTCAAAACACACCACAGGACTGAGACATATAGAAAGACATGACTGATTCCACTAAGGAAAAGCTAGATCTGCTAATGTTTGGGAACCTTTTTGTTAGTGCTTTCCTTTACACAAGGATAGAATCCATCTCATAGTTAAAGTTTTGCTGTGTATTCTTGAGTTCTAAACTGTAATCATTAATTAATTAATAATTATCACTAAATAATTAATCTGTCAGAGTCTTCTCATTACAAGGTATCTTGTCATCTGCTCTGCAGATGGACCCTCTTTCTCCCTGCTGGAACAGAGATCCTCCAGAGACCAAGACTCCCTTCTAGGGGAAGGTAATCCATTCAGCTTTGGAATGATCATGAGCACACGTCTAAACTGCTATATCTATTTGGCTCCAGACCCTGCTTCACCTCTCGCCTAGTCTGCCATCAGGCTGGTAGGACCTATATTATCCCTCTACATGTGCAGAGGATAGCTTTACATTGTGCCTTCAAAAGATTGCCTCCTCTCTCATCCCCACTCTCTCTTATCTTCATTCCCTAATGTCTATAAATATGATCACATCTCCCCCATCCTCAAAAAAACCTTACTTGATCTATCTATTCCCACTAACTCTATATAAAATCCCATGTTAGTCCCTCATTTTGTGGCTAACCTCCTCGAAAAGGCTATCTACAACAGGTGCCTCCGCTTTATCTCCTCTCACTCTCAATACTAGCTACAGTCTGGCTTTCAATCTTATCATTCAACCAAAACAGCTCTCTCTGAAGTTACTAAGGATCTCTTAATTGTCAAATTGCTTTATCTTTTCTCAATCCTCATTCTTCTTGAACTCTCTGTAGCATTTGACACTGTCAATCACTCTTTTCTTCTTTATAGTCTCTTCTCTCTAGGTTTCTATGGCACTTCTCTCTCCTGGTTCTCCTCCTACCTGTCTGACCACTCCTCAGTCTCCTTTGCTGGATCTTCATTCAGATCACATTGTTAACCTCAGGAAAGGCTTCAAGGCTGGTCCTTCTTCTCTTCTTCCTCTATCACATTTCACTTCTGATCTTGTCTCTCTGCTAATGGTTCTCAAATCTACCTATTTAGCCCTAAATTTTTTACTGACCTCCAGTCTTGGATCTTCAACTGCCTATTAAACATCTTGAAGTGGATGTCATGTAAATGTCTTAAGCTCAATATATTCAAAGCTGAACTACTTATCTTTTCCCCAAAAACCCTTTTCCCTTCCAAACTTCCCTATTACTCTTGAGGGCAGCAGCATCCTCCCAGTCCTCCAGGCTCACACCCTATGTGTTTTGCTTGACTCTTGACTCCTGAATCTTACACACACAACCACACCCACACCCACACCCACACCCACAGACACACACACCACTCATATCCAATCTATTGCCTGCTGGTTATTTCCCTTCCACAAGTCTCTCCTCACTCTAGGCCGTCCTCCACTCAGTTTCAAAGTGATCTTTCTAAAGCACAAGTGTGACCATATCACCCCCTGCCCCTCATGCAATAAACTCCAGTGGCTTCCTATCATCTCTGAGATCAAATATAAAATCTTCTGTTTGGCTTTCAAAGCCCTTCAAACCTGGCCTCTTCCTATCTTTCCAGTGTTTCTCTATTTTACTCACCTCCTTATACCTTACACTGCCATGACACTGACCCCTTTAATGTTCCTTGAACAAGATACTCCATCTCCAGAATCCATACATTTTCTCTGGCTGTCCTCCATGCCTAGAGTTCTCTCCCTCCTTATCTCCACCACCTGGCTTCTTTTAAGTCCAAGCTAAAACCCTACCTTCTACTAGACATCTTCCTCAACTCATCTAAATTCTAGTGCCTTGATGATTTCCAATTTATGCTATATATAGCTCCTTTGTACGTAGTTACTTGCATGTTGTGTCCCCCACTGAATCGTCAGTTTCTCAAAAGTAAGGACTATCTTCTACCTTTCTTTGTATCCTCAGTGCTTAGCGTAGTACCTGACATGTAGTAGAAGTTTTATGAATGTTTACTAACTGATTGACTCAGCTATCTTTCTAGAGAATTCCCCAAAAAACTTCCTTCCCTGGACACCATTCCTCTACATCTGTTGTCTTCCATATTAGAATATAAACTCCTCAAGGGCAAAGATTATCACTTTCTTATTTGTATTTCTAGCAACTAGCATGGTACCTGGTATATCATATGTATTTAACAAATACCTTTCATCAATTCATACTTTAAGGACCTCTGATTTTGACCCAGTGAGTACTTCATCCATCACTGGTCATCATAATGACCCCATACCTTACTAGATTGTTTTCATGAGTTGCTGTGGTCAAAAAGTTCTGAGCCTATAGTTATCTTATTCTACAGAAAATAAACACTATATCGAATATGAGAAAGCACATGAAATTTTCAACTTTTACATTCTAACCTGGGCACATTCTTGGCCACCAGTGTGTGCTGAGTATCTAGTTCTCTTAAAGAGATTTTTGAAGAGACACAGAATATGGAGGGCATAATATACTAAGCCAGTCTTGGCTCTTAGAGTAAATGTTTCTTTCCTTTATCTCATTCCCTATTTGACCCTGGGTCAACACTAGTATATCTTTACCACATTTTTTTCTACTATACTACAAAATTTACTAAGATAAACCAAATCCACCCATTAGCTCTCTAACATGGAGTGCAGAATTCTTTTTATTGCCTTAACTTTTATTTTTCAAAAACGAGCACTGGGTATTTTTTAACATGCAGTAGTAGTGTCATGTCATATGTATCTTACAACTGCAAGTTTTAGTAACAAATGAAATTAGTAATATTTAGATAATTCATAGTGTTTATAAAATGAAATTTTTTTTTATCAAAATACACTTCTCACTAAGATAAATAAATAAGATCCAAGCAAACCCACCTAAACAAAGTTAGAATCAACTTTGGTAGATTTCAGTGTAATACATTGTCCATAACTAGCATGTTTGCCCTTTCCCCCCATTGCTGCTCATCTTCTGGGCTAAGAATTATTTCAATTTTTTTTTTATTAAGATTTTATTATATTGACATGTTTCTCATTCCACAGCATCTTCAGCCAAGCTCCATACACTCACAATTCTCTGGCTAATTGATGGCAGGTTAGTCAGAAGCATCTGGAACACTGGTGATGGAAGAGAATGCTGTATAACTTCCAGCAATTGCGGTGGCTGCCCACAGACAGCAGTGGCATTTGTCAAGTGGTCAACACCCTTTTCATATTCAGCTTGGGCTAGTAATTCCTCACCAAGCTGCATTTCTTCAAGAAAGAACTTCTGAACAGCTTCTGCATCTTTAAGGTCAAGTAACTTAGAAAGCCCAGCTCTCTCTTTAGCAACCTTCTGTTTCTTTCTTCGATGTCGGAGCCTGCTCTTGAAGTTGGAGTCGCTCTGTCTCTTGCGGTCAAAGTAAATACAGTAGCCGATGAAGAGGGCCCCGCACACGCCAGCGGCGATCGCTCCACTCCGGCCCACCATGTTTCCGGCTGCTGCTCGCAGTGGAGGTAGCAGCAGCGGGGCCGTCCCCGCACTGACCCCCAAGTCAGGAGAGTAGCTTTACCACATTTTTGATGAGGTTATTTATCCTGAACACTTAATGACACTGTACCTTGTGTAATAAATTCTCTGATGTACTGTATAACCAAGAAGGTATCCTCTTCAGCTGCTACAGGTATCAACTTTTTACCTGAGGTGGGATTCATAGCTTTTCTCTAATTTTTCTTATCTCTAATTTTTGATTAGTTAAGAACGCCACAGTGATGTATGCATATATTCATTTTACACATACATGAGTCTTTCAAAATAGCTATTTGCCAAGGATAGGAAATAACTTACATCATCCAAGCCAAAAGGAACACCCATTTCATTCTGAAAAAAAGCTGGTGTATGAGTAACTCAATCATTCAGGCTAATTGGATATAAGGCAGGCTAATAGGAAAGGGCATTGTGTTCCCTTCTTGTTTCTAATGCTTGCAACACTGAACCAGCCCAGTAGAGTGGAAAGAAAACTGGATTGAAATCAGAGGACTTGAATGTGTATTCTGACTATGCCTCTTATTACAAATGCTGTCTTGGGCAAATCACTTAACTTGCCCAAGGGAAAGGGCTTGGCTAAATTAAATTCAAGAATGTTTCAGACTTTTTAGTAGAAAGCATGACAGCAAGGAAATAAAATCAGCTAATGTAAATTTAGTTCTGCACCACAACCTTAAAACTTGGAGAACATATACAAGAAAATCACTCCCTAACACACTCAGACATTTCAGCTGCTCACAGATACCATATAAAGGCTCATATTCTTATTGTCCGTCCCCTAATTCAACACCATTCAGCTACCTATTTGGCCATCATCGATGTTTCTTGCTCCTCTGTCCACATTCCATAAAGAGAAGTGAGAACACCTGGTATAACCTTGGGGAAGCAAGTAGAAGGACCAAGAGGAATAGTCCAAATGATTGGATTAAACCCCACTTAATCTCTGGAAGAAAGTGAAGATAAGGAATGAAGATAACGTATTGCCACAATTTCTCCTGAAGTGCCATTTGACAAAATCAACCATTTTCCCATGTGGGTAAAATACTAACATTAATATTAATAATAATAGCTAACATTTCAGTGGTATTTACTATCTGCCAGGCACTGTGTGAAATGCTTTAAAAGGGCTGTCTCATTTGATCCTCACAACAATCCTGGGTGGGAGGTAACGTTAACCCCATTTTATAGATGAGAAAACTGAGGTAAACAGAGGTTAAGTGATTTACCCACAGTAACACAGCTAGTAAGTATGAGTCTGGATTTGAACTCAGGTATTCCTGATTCCAGGCCCAAGCTGCATTACTGCACCATTGAGCTGCCATTACAAGTATCGTTATACCAAAGAATGGCATAACCAACCTACTTCTATGTCCCAGCCTCTTACAAACCATCTGCTGTTGTCACAACAAAGGAACCTGTCCCAAGAGCTTTCTCTGGTCCCTGTGCATGTACCCTATGTAAGAAATTCTCTCCTAAAATATCACCCACTATAAAGAAAAAACTTGTCAGTTACAGATGTGGAGCTGAAAGCTACCGTAGTGGTCATCTTGACCAATACCCTCATTTTGCGGATTACAGAACTGAGGTTGATGAAGTCAAATGACTTGCCCAAGATCACATACGTAGTAAGAGGCATGGTCAGAATACACATTTACACATTCAAGTCCTCTGATTTCAATCCACTTTTCTTTCCACCCTACCAGGCTGTTTTAGTGTTGCAAGCACTAGAAATGAAAAGAGAACAGAATTGTGTGTGTGTGTGTGTGTGTGTGTTTTTTTGATGTCCCGTAGCAATTAGTCTACTAATTCACTTCTAATTTAAGCATGTATTTACTACATAGAGGATGCAAAATCACTGTTTTATTTTCAAAACTTGCCATTTGGGTGTATTCATTTTAGCAGAATTCTATTACAACTAAACATTTTGGAAATTCACTATAGCATAATTTTTTTCATTACTGAAATGCTACATAATCATCATTTTAATAAAACATTTCTCATAACTGAGAACCAGAAAAACTGCTTTTAGCTTAACAGGACTAGAGTAGATTTTTAAGGACCAAAGCTTTAAAAAATAGTACTTGAAACACAGATTAATTTAAAACACACCACAGCCAGAATTCTCACAATATGCAACACTACCATACACTTACATAGCCTTTTAAAGTTTTCAAAGAATATTTATATTGTTTATGTCTTGTTACATCATGGGTATCTAGGTGGTGCAGTGGGCTGGGAATCAGGATGACTTATCTTCCTGAGTTCAAATCTGGCCTCAGACACTTACTAGTTATGTGACCCTAGGCAAGTCATTTAATTTTATTTGCCTCAGTTTCTTTGTCTGTAAAATGAGCTGGAGAAGGAAATGGCAGACCATTCCAGTATCTTTGCCAAGAAAACCCCAACTGGAGTCATGAAGAGTTGGACATGAATGAAAAAATTACTGACTGAACATCACAGGACCCACTTATCCTCTTAAAGGCAGATCAAAAAACTTTGAGACACAATAGCAAACAATTCAGGCTAGGGTTGGGTAGAAAAGTCCAACTGGTCTTTAGCTGCTATTGTAATATTACCATGATGTTACATTATGTCTCAAGTAGAGCTTTCACTATGCATTCTCCAGTTCATTCCTGACCCAAGTTTAACATTAAACATGTCTTCTAAGATGCAGGCCCTGAATGCAGGCACATAAAACTGAAAATGCAACATTAACTGTAAACAAAAATGACAAACACCAGAGTTCTGGGACCTAATTCAATAAATATACACTTAATATCATTAGAATAGAATATACCAGTGCCCTTCTTTGACAAGAAGCACCAGGATGCTGTAATAATAATAATGATAATAATAATAACTAGCATTTACGTAGTGATTTAAGATTATCAAAGCACTTTACAAATATTTCACATAGCAATATTAGGATGTGGTAACTACAAGAGGAGCTAATACATCAAAAAGCTCTTTGGACATTAAAATGATAAGGAAAAATGTAACTCATTAGAAAGATTTTGTTTCAATGTCAAAATAAAAGAATTTCTACTTGACCTTCAGTGATCCCCCTCCCCCAATCCATTTCCTGAATATTCTGGTTAATCATGATCTTTCTGTGAAACATTTTTAATATTTCACAAAAAAATTAGTTCCCATATTTTAAAGCTAAAATTTAATTTGGAATTGTTTATGTTAAAGCTATTAAAGAATCACACAGTATTGATAAATTAACAAATCTTTCACTTTGCCTCTGGGCTGAATTACCCTGAGATTGTTCCAAATGATTCACTGTCTTCAAGACAATTCATGGGGATTTTTAGGGAAGCATCTGGCTCATCTCAGTGTCTAAAAATCTGTCTCTTCATTTTTCCTCATAATCTTAATAATCACTGAAGCGACAGTGTGTGAAGCATGCTTATGTTACACTCTAACAATAACAAAATCCATTACAAAGACTAAAAATAGGGGGCAGCTAGGTGGCACAGTGGATAGAGTACAGGCTCTGGAGTCAGGAGGACCTGAGTTCAAATCCAACCTCAGATACTTGACACTTACAAGATGTGTGACCCTGGGCAAGTCACTTAACCCCATTGCCTAGCCAAAAACAAAACAAAACAGAAGACTAAAAATACTTACCTCATAACACATATATAAAGAAAAGAGCACTATTAAAAAATTGTATGTAATCATCAATTTCTTGAGGTCAAAGGGCTTGCGGTTTTCCATAATCTTTGGTCCCAGAGAAGTGACAAAATAGATATAGAGTCCAAGGATAAGGGTTTGTGGCAGAGGAGAGGACATGAGTGGCCAATCCCCAACTCTGGGATCTAGAAGAAAAATAAGAATGTCAATGAATGTATGCTGTGTCAAGGGACAGCTAATGGAGAAAATATATTTTTCAAGTGGTTAGAATGGGGTGTCTAAATTGGATAATGTAACATCATGGTAATATTGCAGTAGAATGATTCCATAGCAGCATGGTACTGTGGACTGGGTAATAAGGACTGAATTCAGAGAACTGGATTCAACTCCCAGTTACTAACTGCGTGACCATGGGAAAATCTTTTAATTCCTCTCACCCCAGCATCTGTCTAAGATGAATAACTTTACATGGCTTGTGATCAGGAAAAGAAATTCCCACATGGATGACATCATAGGAACCTGACATACTGACATATGTAGCATGAAAAAAAAATGCATAGTGAAAGCTCTACTTTAACCTTCCAATGAAGTTTGAAAAAAATATGATTGCTATTCCAAATGTGTTTAAGTCTTGACTCTTCAAGGCCAGCGCATTCTTCATAGTATCACTATCAGAGTTGAAAGGCACCTTCTCAGAGTAGCTAGGCGGTGCAGTAGATAGAGCACCAGCGCTGGAGTCAGGAGGACCTGAGTTCAAATCCGGCCTCAAACATTTGACACTTACTAGCTGTATGGCCCTGGGCAAGTCACTTAGTCCCAACTGCTTCGCCAAAAAAAAAAAAAAAGAAAGAAAGAAAGGCACCTTCTTGTCCAGTATCCTACTCAGTTCAAGAATTCTCTGTACAACCTTACCTTTCAAGGTGATTATTCAGCTTTTGGTTCAAATCTCTCCAGTGATGGAATCCTGATACCTAGAAGGGACTTTGGATATCATTTAGTCCAATACCTTCATTTTACAGATGAGAAAACTGAGCCCACAGAGGTTAAGTGACTTGCCTATAGTCACACAGGAAGTAAACAAAAAAATTAGGAATCAGACAAGGTCCCCTGATGTTAAATGCAGCATTTTTTCCACTGTGCCACACTGTCCTCACACAGATAAGGAAACTGAGGCCCAGAAAGATTGTGACTTGTCCAGGAAGTCCCCACAGTGTTGAAACTATAGTTCTGCCACCTTTAAATTAGACACAAGTAAATTTGAAGCTGAAAAATGTTTTGATCAAGGTAGAAAATGATTTTTTTTAAATAACCAACTAATTTTTTTTCTTCAATGTCACACCATAGGGAGCCTGTTCTTTGTTAAAAAATTCTCTTATGTTAGGTTGAATCCACATCTTCTATCCTTGGTTTATCCAATGGAAGGCTATATAATAAATCTAATTACTCTTAGTTATTTGACAGCTATGTTTTTTTCATTCACTTTATATACTTTTCATACATTATTAATCTTCTTTTCTCTCAACTAAAAATTTTGTTTCTACTACCATTCCTCTGATGACCTTGTTTCTAAACCTCTTTACCATCTTGGTCTATCAAATTCTAAATGCACCTCTTAAATTTTAGTGTCTAGAATTGAGCAAACAGAGTTGGTTGGGTCCATGAATTACTTTATACTCACAATCTCTTCTCTTCCTTTTGGCTATTTTGCCACCCATTGTCACCTCTACCAAAAAGGAGACTTTTACTGATAGTAGAGAGAATATAAGGTGACAAAACTAAAAAAAAAAAGGTCTTTTTAAAAATGTATTAGTAGTTCTAGTTAAAAAGCAAGATGGACAAAGTTGAAATAATCCCTAATTCTTATTTTACCCATTAGTTGTGTATATTAAGCTTTGCAAGTTATCTATTTCATTTCTTTTCCAACATTTTTGTGAAGAGTTTACCAGCATACCTCATTTTATTGTATTTTGTTTTGTGGCACATTGTAGATCTTGGGTTTGGAGGGGTATTTTGTCTTTTTGTTTTGTTTTATTTTGTTTTGTTTTACAATTTGAAGATTTGTGGCAACCCTGCATCGAGCAAGTCTATTGGCACCATTTTCCCAACAGCATGTGTTCATGTTATATCTCTGTGTCACATTTCAGTAATTCTCGAAATATTTAAAACTTGTTCATTATCATTATATCTGTTATGATGAACTGTGATCAGTGATCTTTGATGTTACTATTGTAATTGTTTCGGGGAGCCATGAACCACATGAGTGTAAGAACAAATTTAATAAATGTTGTGTATGTTCTGACTGCTTTAACAACCGGCTGTCCCCCATCTCTCTCCCTCTCCTCAGGCTTTCTCTACTTATTGAGATGCAACAATATTGAAATTAGGTCAATTAATAACCCCACAAAGGCCTGTAAGTGTTCAAGTGAAAAGAAGAGTCAATTGATGCAGCAAACTTCATTGTTGTCTTATTTTAAGCAATTGCCACAGCCTCCCCAACCTTCACCACCCTGATCAATCAGCAGCCCTTATCATTGAGGCAAGACCCTTAACCAGGAAAAAGACTACGACTTACTGAGGGTTCAGATGATGGTTAGAGTTTTTTAGCAATAAAGTATTTTTTTTTTGCTTTTCAGTGAGGTAATCAGGGTTAAGTGACTTGTCCAGGGTCACACAGCTAGTAAATGTTAAGTGTCTGAGGTCAGATTTGAACTCAGGTCCTCCTGACTCCAAGCCCAGAGCTCTATCCACTGAACCACCTAGAAGTCCCAATAAAGTATTTCTTAATTAAGATATATACATTGGGGGTTTTTTTAGACATAATAAAACTGCACACTTAAAAGACTACAGTATAGTGTAAACATAACTATTATATGCACTGGGAAACCAAAAAATGTATGTGACTGGCTTTATTGTAATATTCACTTTTTTGAGGTGGTCTAGAACCAAACCTGTAATATCTCCAAGTTACGCCTATACTATAGGGTGAACAGTAGTAACTCCTCAGTGATACTTTTTTCCAAATTTATTTTTCTATAACATACATTATAATTTTAATTAAGGAGAAATTTGAAATCAGTTAGCCTAGTAAATCCCACCAAAGTCTTCCACTACTTCTAGAAGTTTCCCTTCACTTTTATGTTTTTTTTGTTTTTTTTGGCTAGGCAATGGGGTTAAGTGACTTGCCCAGGGTCACACAGTTAGTGTTATGTGTCTCAGGCTGGATTTGAACTCATGTCCTCCTGAATCCAGAGCCAGTACACTATCTACTATGCCACCCAGCTGTCCCTTCCCCTCACTTTTAAAAGAAAAGGACTATCTTGCGAGACCATAATTGCCATATTAATTAATATAGCCAATGGAAGCCAAGCAACTGATCTATAAATCAACACCTTTGAGCAACAGCACTCCAAAGGGAGACTCAGGAGTAAACACAATCTCTTACCTTGGCATGGCCTTATAAGGCTTACATGTAGAGCGCTTTACATAAATTCTCTCTCAAAAATGGTTACAATTATACAGAACTGGGTGTGACTAAGAAAACTAGAATAGATCATAAAAGTTGGTCGGGACAAAGTTGGAAGTGACTGAGGAGGAGCTCAATAATTGATCTTGAGATAATCTGTTCCCTAGAGAATGATGGCAATGTCACAGAATTAAGGTGATGAGTTACTGTCCCTAACAAAAGGAATCCAGAGGACCTCTGTGAAACCTCAAGACCTGTGTGCCTCAGTTTCCTGGCTTATAAAATGACTTACAAAATTGAATTAGATGATTCAAAAGGTCCCTTCTAGATCAAATCTAATTGCCTATAAAGCAGAATGTAGGGGTTTTTTCCCCTTAATAATACTTTATGTTTTCCCAATTGCACATAAAAATAATTCTAACACTTTTAAAATTTTTAGTTCCAAATTCTCTCCCTCCCTCCTGTCCCACCTCCCTCCCAAAGACAGTGAGCAATTTTGTATAGGTTACACATGTGCAATCACACAAAACATATTTCCCTATTAGTCACATTATGAAAGTAAATAGCCGAAAGAATTGGATTTGGAGTCAAAAGACCTGAATTTGAACTCAATATTGGCCACCTGTGACCTTGAGCAGGCCACTTGACCGCTCAGGCTTCAATTTCTTCCTTGGTAAAATAAAGGGGTTGGACTCAATAGAAGGCCTTGAAGCTCTTGGCCTGAGAGTCTGTGATCTTACTGCAGGCATGTCACTCCTGCTTTAAGAAAAGGATACTGCCAATGTACATTCGTGGAAACCAGTTAAGATTCCATATTGTGGGATAGAGAGGAAGAAGGGGCAGAAAAGAAGCCATGTATTTTCTCTGTCCCTCATGGTGAGCACATCCAGGATAAAATTATTAGTGTATATCCAATCAAAACTTCAAAGTAATCTGGAAAGAAGACTTTTTTATACAATGAACATGTTCCTTAACTAAACAATATATATTAAAACAAGATACTTTTAAAAATACATATATATGTGTATTTTATTTTTTCCTGAATTACATGTTTAAATAATTTTTTTAACATTTTTTTAAAGTTTTGAGTTCCAAATTCTATCTCCAAATCTAATTTTTTTGGCTGACACTCAAATCAAGGAACAGAGAAGATGAAGTATCAGTTAAGAAGTTTCAGAGACTGGGGTGGGGGGCACCTAAGTGGTGCAATGAATAGAGCACTGACCCTGGAGTTAGGAGGACTTAAGTTCAAATGTGACCTCAGACACTTAACAGTTATGTGAACTTAACCCCAATTATCTCAAAAAAAGAAAAAGAAAAAAGAAAGAAACAAACCACAAAAAGAAAGGTTCAGAGGCAATTGGTTTCTACTTGGTGTTTAAAACCATTAAAAGATAAAAGCAATAATCTCATGCATCTTCTGTCTAATATATTGTGTTATACATACTTTGGGGATCAGATGAGTTGATTTTGCGGGTGTGGGAGAACTCCAAATGAGGAAGCTCCCTCAACCAAAGCAGTCCAACACCTGCCCTACCTCTTATAGCTCAAGAGAGTCATCTGAGGCCCTGAGAGCTTAAGGGACTTGCCCAGGATCCCACAGCTCACACGTGGAACTTGAACCCAGATTCTCAAACTCCTGGCCCCATTTCTCTATCCATGATGCCATGTTGCCTCTTTGGATGAGTTCAAAGAACTCACTAATAAAACAAAAGAATACAAAAATGGATTTTAAAAATATTAACAAAATTATCATTTCTCTAGCTATTTATTTAATGTATAGTTCTCTCTAGCTCCTTGGTTAGTAGGCTAATACTTTCCTTTTACTCCTCTGTTACATTTGTAATGGGCATTTGGTGCAAGCCAAGATCACCTATAGCTTCACCCACATAGAAGATACTGGGTACCTGATTCCAGGAGACAGAAGAATTGGTGCATGTGTAGACATTCTGTGTTGGTTTACCATGTGGTTGAAAGCAGCCTTTTTCCACTATATATGTAGCTAGAAATGCCATGTCTTTAAAATTGCCCGAGTGCACTCTGGATCTTTTCTGCATTTGCATTGGAGGAAAAAGGACCTTTTCACTCACATGCAGTAAGAGGGGAGGGTCTAAGAGCCATCTCCCCCCCTCCACCTACTTAGGTATCTGGCCCCAAGAAATTGGCTGGGAGTTTGGGCCTTTTCTGACTATCCTTTTCACTTCTAGGTTCAGAAAGTCGAGTCTCTAACTTGGGAGCTCAAGTCACTGGGATCCAGAAGATTAGCAATCCAGATGAGGTGTTTCAAGCAGTCCAGTTTTTGTTCAGTTGTTTTTCAACTGAGTCTGATTCATCGTGACCCCATTTGGAATTTTCTTGGCGAGTGGTTTGCCATTTCCTTCTCCAAATCATTTTACGGATGAGGAAACTGAAGCAAATGGGGTTAAGTGACTTGCCCAGGGTCACACAGTTAGTAAGTGTCTAAGACCAGATTTGAACTCAGGGAGATGAGTCTTCTTGACTTTAGGCCCAGTGCTCTATCCACTGTGCCACCTAGCTGCCCAGCCAGTCTAGTAGGGACTCTTTAAGTCTTGCTTAAAGAGCAAGGGTGCTCTATGTTAGCCTAGTGGAGCTTTGAACTTTAATTTAGTAGAACTAAGGCCATGTAGGAATTGAGCTAAGCTGTGAGCCTAATTTCCCTCCCTTTCCTAAAGACTGAGGTGGTATAAGGGAGAGACAATGGCCCTACGCATTGAGGGAAATATTAATATGTTTCTTCTTACTCTATCTCTGAAGTTAACGTTTCTTTGTACCAGATTACCCATTATTAAGTGGTTAAATGGAACTGGGGTGCTATTCACTCAGTTCCTAAAATTGGGAGAACACAATCATTAATGGTTCCAGCCAATGACAAGAAAAAAGAGACTCCCCAGTGCTGGAAAACCTTGGTGGAAAGGGGGAAAATAAAATGTAACAAACTTGGCCAGAGAGTGGGACCAGAGCAATCCATGTTACACATTACTTGGCACTAGTTTTACTCTACTAAGAGCAGGCAATTTATATGTAAGGACCATCAAAGGTGCCCTTGACAAATGTTACTTTTAATTAGCTTTGCTTTGAAATATGTGCATTGTTATTGGACCTTTATGGAATTTGCAAATTTCTGACCTATTGCCAAATTCTGGCTTTTTGTAGTTCCTAGGCCACGGAGTTTTCCGGCTGAAGTTAATAGGCACGATGTCCACTCCATTACAGGTCAAAAAACTGTTAACATCAGCAAATTTCCCAAGGGTTGAGGGTACTCAGAATTAGAGCTGAAGTCAGGAAAAAAAGTCAAGATTACAGACCCTCAATCTTGGGCCCAGAATATTGTATTCTTAACTGATTCTCTTCTTTGATATGTGTTCAAAGGTGAGCAAATAAACCCAGTGAGGACCAAACAAAAGATTACAGAGCCCTTAGGCAAACAGAGGGGACAAACTCTAGAACATGTTCTCAATGTGTGTGTGTGTGTGTGTGGTAGGGGGCCCTTTGGCAGTCTAGTTCACCAACCCCCTTAAATCTATGTACAACCTCCCTAAGCCCCTGGGGGGGTGGTTCTTACTCTATGTGTTAAGAACCCCTGCTTATCTCTAAGGTGAGAATTTAAAAGGAAGAGATGATTAAAAAAAAAGACAACCCTTCTATATTTCAAGCCAACTTTGAACCAATTATTGGCAGACCTCTACCCCCCACCTTACTATACCCCTTCTGTGTTATCCTACCATGAGGGAGAGGGCTTCAAGGTGGTTCCTTTCCCCTCTACATTGGGGTACACCGAATCCCCAGTATACTGAGTTCATTAAGTCTTTGCGTGGTGGTGGTAGAGATGGATTTTTTAAAAAAACTCTAACTTAAAATATAAGCTTTAGTCTAAGAGGCAGGCCTGGCATCTAGCTACGTGACCTTGGGAAAATCATTTTAACCTCTGCCAACTTGAATGTTTTATTCAAATTTTATAATTCCACATGCTTTCTTTCCTGGCAACAAAGTTAATCATTTCTTTTAACTTAAAAAAAAAAAAAAGCTTTGGCCACAAAATACTCATTTAGATGTGACAAAGTACTGTTAAATATCCTGTTAAAAAAAAAAAAGAATGGGAGATCTATATGGGACATACAAGAAATTTAGCAACTTACCGGCATCTTTGATCCATTCGTCATAAAGGTGCACAGTCCTCGATGTAAGATCACTGAAGACCATTTCCCACAGGAGTTACTGGATCTCAGGATGAGTTCTTCATTAAAAGAAAACAACAAAAAAGCTCTTATGATCACAAATGTAAATAAGCCTAAGCTTCTTGCAATGCAATGTTCAAAAATGCTAAAAATTTAATAGGGACAACTGGCAAAGCAATTAGCTTTAACTGTAGGCTAATGCATTAGCAGAATACATTTATATTGGACCCAACGCAGTTGCAGATGAGTCACGTTTTCCATTATTTCAGAGACACAGCTTACTCCAGTAAAGATGGTTGCAATTTTACATGCCAAATGGAAAAGATGTTAAAGAAACATTATTTCAAGAAATACAGCAGGAGCATCTCCCATTCCAACAACTATATAGGACAAAAGGGATTGACCCTATCTCTGCTATGGTTACTTTGATATAAAATCCAAGAAAAAAAAAAAGATTTATGAAGATAAGATCTCAGGAGCTGGAGGCAATTACTAAAGTTGTTGATAGTAGGTGAAGTGGAGGAGTAGGGAAGGGCTTAGATATGAATTTCCTTGCTGATTGAAGATATAGAAAGTTAGATGAGGGTTAGAGAACTTAATTTCTTCAAAACAGTATCACCATCCAGTAAATCACAATCCAGTAAATCAAAGTCTAGGTTGTGGCCCTGGTCTTATGAATGAGGCCTGTGTTTCAAAATCAAGACCCCTCCTACATAGTATATAGACATTACAATTAAACATGACAAAATGTTTAATAGCCTTGAATTGTGAAAGAAAAATATGGATTCCACACCCATGGTGAATAAAGCTGTACTTGCCAAGGTTACCAGTGATCTAGAAATAATTAAATCCTATGTTATTTTCTCAGTTCTCATCTTTTTTTTTAAATAAATACTACTTTGAAATTTGAAATTTCAGATTCACAACAATTAAGGGGGAGATATTTTGTTTCAAAACAAGATTTCTTTGAGGTGTCTATCATCCTCTCAAACTATTGCCCTGTATCTTTTCTGCATTTCATAGCCAAATTCCCAAGGGAAAAAACATCTACTTATTTACTTCCCATTTCTCAACCTCTTGCAATATGGATTCCACACCCATGAATAAAGCTGTACTTGCCAAGGTTACCAATGATCTAGAAATAATTAAATCCTATGTTCTTTTCTCAGTTCTCATCCTTTTTTTTTTTTTAACCTTTTCTGGCTCTCGCACTGTTGACCATCTCCCAACTCCTGAATATTTTCTCTTCCATCAGATTTTGGGACATTGATCTCTCCTGGTTCTCCTCCCAGCTATCTGAACACTTCTTTGCTGGATCATCCAAATGAACCTCCCATTAAAGCATGGGTGTATCCAGGGCTTTATCTGATCCTTCTTTCTTTCTCTACACCTCTCTCAGTGACCTCATCGATTCCCATGGGTTCAGTTATTATTTCATGTGATGATGCCCAGATCCATACAGCCAGCCTTCAGCTCTCTCTCCTCAGTCCAGTCTGGCCTCAGCAACTTCCAAATGGACATCTTTATTCATATCTCAAACTCAACATATCTAAAATGGAAATCACTCTCTCTCTCCCTAAATGTGCCTCCGCCCTAATGTCCTTATTTATATCCAGAGCATAACCATACTTTCAGTTATTCAGGTTCATGTGGAGATTTAATAAGCTCAGTACACAGTATTCTCGGGATCCTATACACCCTAAATGTAGCCAAAGTGAGAACTTGGAAAGACCTGAGTTTAAAAAGGCCAAAGTCTCCTACTGTATCTGAGGCCATCTCTATAATCTGTATCTGGTCACTGGACCCAGATAGCTTTGGAGGAGAGAGTAAGGTTGGTGACTTTGCACAATCCTCCTTCCCTTTCTTTCAATTTACTTACTAGTCATGGTATCATCTTCCTGATGTCATGGTCCTCTTTGAGAATGAAGGACAATCCACATGCACATAGACAAATGTAGAGGGGAAAGGAACACCTTGGAACCCTCTCCCTCATGGTACAGGGAGGTTGGGCAGCACAGAATGACTGTGGTAGTGGGGGGAGTAGGTTTAGCAATGATTGACTGGTTTAAAGCTGGTTTGAAAGGTTGAAGAATTGTTTTTTTTTTTTAATCATCTGTTCCTTTTACATTCTTTTTAGAATCTTAGAGATAAACAGGAATTCTTAATATGTAGTCTAACTCTTCATTCTGCTTCCCAGATCTCATCAATTCAACCATCACAACATCTTTCCCATCCATTCCCTACTTTTTAGTCACATAGCCAACACCTTAGCTGAAGCCTTCATCATCTCTTACCTTATCTCTTACATTATCTCTTTCAATAGCTTCTTAATTGCATTCCCTGCTTCCAGTGCCTTCCCTGTTCAATCTATCCTCAACACAAATGCCAAAATAATCCTCTTAAAGCCATATCACTCCCCCCCTCTTGGATCTTCAGTGGTTTTCTGTTGTCTCTAGAATAAAATAAACTCTGCTGTCATTTCAGACCAAGGACAGTCTGACTCCAACCTAATGTTCCAAACGTTTTTACATGCTACTTCAACTCACACAGGCTAAACAATACTGACTTACTTCCTGGTCCACATACATAATATTTCATCTCCCACATCCATGACAATGTACAGTCTGTCCTTCATAACTAGAATGTACTTGTTTCTTACCTCTGTTTCCCAGTTTAATTTTTTTTTTTTTGGATTAAAGGGGCCATCCCTTAGCTTATTCTTAAAGAGCTCTAATCACTAAATGGGCATTGCCTCAGTCAAAATGAGAACTCGGAAAGATCTTAGCTTAAAAAAGCCAAGGTTTCCCACTGCATCAAACCACACAACTCTTGGAATAACAATGACAACAACAACTAGCATTTATATATCACTCTATACATACATACATACATACAATTATACATACATATACATACATATATACATCTACACACACGCACACATATGTATGTATATGTATATACAGGTTGCCTCAGTCAAACTGAGACCTGTTAAAGATCTTAGCTTGAAAAGGTCAAGATTCCCCACTGTATCTGGGGCCATCTCCAGTCATCCTGATCTATATCTAGTCACTGGATGGCTCTGGCTCTGGAGGAGAAAGTAAGGCTGGTGACTTTGCACAGCCCTCCCTCACTTAAATCCACTTAAATGTTCCAAACATTGTGAAAGAAAAATATGGATTCCACACCCATGGTGAATAAAGCTGTACTTGCCAAGGTTACCAGTGATCTAGAAATAATTAAATCCTATGTTATTTTCTCAGTTCTCATCTTTTTTTTAAATAAATACTACTTTGAAATTTGAAATTTCAGATTCACAACAATTAAGGGGGAGATATTTTGTTTCAAAACAAGATTTCTTTGAGGTGTCTATCATCCTCTCAAACTATTGCCCTGTATCTTTTCTGCATTTCATAGCCAAATTCCCAAGGGAAAAAACATCTACATGTTAGATGTCATGGTCCTCTTCAAGAATGAAGGACAAGCAGCAGAGAAATATACATATGTATTTCTTCAAGACTTCTCAGGTGCCACCTCCTATACAAGGTCTTTCCTGACCTATCCTTATATCCCCCAGTTGTAAGTGCTTTCCCCTGTTCTAAAACTATGTTGTATAAACTTCATAACAATTTATTGGTGTAAATATTAACTCTTCCCAACTGAAGATAAAGTTTTAAAGGGTAAGGACTCTCCCTTTTCTACTTATCTCCCCTATGCCTAGCACAATGCCTTGCTTCCGGTAAATGCTAAGTAAATGATTGATGAATTGAATTGAATTTTTAAAATGGTTGTTTGGTCTATTCTTTACTTTTACTTTTGCCTTTTCTACAGTCTCAGCTAAACTAAATGTAATCTCATTTTTAGTTAAATTAACTGACAATTCTTGGTGAATACATAATCCTTTAATCCTTAAGGGGTTAGCGAATGAAAAGTCTCTGCCAAACACTATAGTGTCCTGGGATTATGGGACTAGGAACTCATGAGAGGGATTATTAGATAAGGGGTAACAACTCCATTCAGTTGTTGTGCAGAACAATTCTCCAACCTAAAGAGTGGTCATATGAGGTACTCATAGATGGAGCCAAAGTCACTAGAATGAGTAAGAAGGACAATGTGACCTTAGGCAAGTAATTTAACCCCTCAAAGCCCACAGAAAACTCAGTAAAATGATAAATTACAAAACAGTTGTTGTTCTCGTTCAATAAAAGGCAAAAGAAGAGAAAAGAAATAGTAGTTGGTGATTTTCTGCTTAGGGGTGGTGAAGGCCCTATTTGTTGGCCCAGTAACCTATTGCCTTCCAGGGGTATGTATCCAAGACATAACAGAGAAACCTCACAAGACTGAACAGTACTGAAGACAAGTACCCACTTCTAGTCATTCATAGTGGCAAAAATGGGACTTCCAGATGGAAAATTAAAAAATATCACCAATGTATGTGAATACACCATTGGGGCTATGAATTGGTCCAACCATTCTGGAAAGTAATTTGGAACTACTTCCCAAAAGTTATTAAATTACATACCTTTTGACCAAACAACACTACCGTTAAGTCTATACCCCAAAGAGATAAAAGCAAGAAGATAAGAACTCATATGTTCAAAGATATTTCTTACTGTAACAAATAACTGGAAACTAGAATACCTGTCAATTGAGGAATAGCTGAACAAATTGTGGTATATGAATGTAATGGAATACTAATGTGCCATAAGAAGTAAAGAAAGGGATGGTTCCAGTGTAACTTAGAATGATTTGTATGTACTAATGCAGAGTTAAATGAGCAAAACCAGTAGAATAACTTATACAATAGCAACAACGTTGTAGAGACAAACAAGACTCAAGAATTCTGATCAATGCAAGACCTACTACAATTCAAGAAGACTAATGATGAGGCATGCTATCCAACGAGGCAGAATGAGACCTTTTTAAAAAAAAAAAGTTGACTAACAATGGAACCAAGATGAGGAGGGAAGCAGAAAACTGGAAAAGAATCTTTACAACCAGTGTCCCTGATAAAATATGTAGATAAAACATGTAATGTCATTT